AGTCTCCTCTTGGCTTATATCGAAATCCTCTGACATTCTTCTTTACAAATCCTCGTTTTGTACTTCTAATTAGTGACCGTTGTTTTGTTTTGATCTCTCCCCTGCGCTTCCGCGTTCGTCACTTCTGAGCGGCGCATGCGCAAAGCCGACCTCATACGTCATCCGCCCGGAACTGCTTCCGTTTACAACAGTGAGCGCAAGCTAGATTAAAGTGATTATTACGTTTTAAATATGGTTATTTTTCTTACAAAAACGCATTGATTCACTACAGGAGGCCTTTGTTCACTCCCCGGAGCCGTGTGAGACACTTTTTTTTAATGGATGGGCGCTTTTTATTTCACTTCTTTTGGACTGATGCACTGCAACACCCACTGAGTGCCATTAAACAGCTTGAAAGATCAAAGACAATTTTTTATATAACTCCGACTGGATTCGTCTGAAAGAAGAAAGTCATATACACCTAGGATGCATTGAGGGTGAGTAATTTATGGCCTAATTTTCATTTTTGGGTGAACTAACCCTTTAATAAGCGTCAGATGCTGGATGCGTCTCATAAACGCACACCAAAAGCACACATCGTGCAACCCTAACCAAGCACAACACTTCCAGAAGTAACAATCCCAATCATTCTCTCCATAGAGAAATCAATGTTTAGTGGTAACATGCAAACATTTCAGTAAAGACCTACCATAAGCTCTGAAGTTAAATGATTAATTATGATTCTGCAGAAGCCATGAGTCATTCAAATTCATATTTAAACAAAGTCACTGTCACCATAGGAATTTCTGCTAATGAGTATGAGCAGTGACATCCCACTCGCATGAAGAATGATGCAACTGAATCAGTTTCTTTACACTATCGAACTAACACTGCCTGAATATTTTTTAAAAAGCTTAAATTATATTAAAATTTTATTAAACTTAAAATATATATACTTACTGTAGAATCAATGAATTGTTTTATAGTGTTTTTTATACATTACCGTTCAAAAATGTGGTCTGTAAGATTTATTAATGTTTTCAAAGAAGTCTTCTGCTCACCAAGCATTTACCTGACTAAAAACTGTAAAAACTGTAATATTGTCAAATATTATTACAACTTAAAAATAACTGTTTTCTATATGAATATATTTTAAAATGTAATTTATTTCTGTGAATTTTCAGCATCATTACTCCAGTCTTCAATGTCACATGATCCTTCAGAAATCATTCTAATATGCTGATTTGCCGTTTAAGACAGAAATATTTATAACTATAATGAATGTTGAAAACAGTTGTGCTGCTTAATATTTTTGTGGAAATCATGATAATATTCTTTCAGGATTCCTTGATGAATATTTGATAAACATTTATTTGAAATAGAAACATTTTGTAAGATTACAATGTCTTGCCACTTTTTATCAATTTAAAGCTTCCTTTCTAAATAAAAGCATTATTTCTTATTAAAAAACTGCTTTTGAATGGCAGTGTACCTATGTAGAAAACGAATGGGAAAAATACTTCCAGAAGCAAAGCCACTGAGAATGTGGTTAAATGTGAAAGAGTGAGAGTCAGATCTTTCTACTGGAGTGAAATCCTCTCATGACTGCTCTTGAAGAACCACTAAAACACACCTTTACACAGTGAGAACTGGTTTCAGAAGCCCCAAAGATCCAAAGATTCATTCAGAGATTTATTTAAAAGAAAAAAAAAAAAGCTTAATTTTTTTATGTAGCCTTTGCAAACAAAAGAAAATTGACTCCTGAAATGCCGGAAACTGTACAATTGCTTTCTGTCCATTGCAACTGTTGCTTGTCAGATTGCATTAGATCTTCAGTAAAAGTCAAAACAGACTGTACAACATCATGTCAGATTGAATGATGCAAGATTTACAGCACCGATGGTCAGTTTTACTCCATCAATCTATGACAAATTCCTCACTGACATGCACAAAGCCAAGAAAGCCCTTGAGGAAAAGGGGATTTTGTGGACTGTGAACTTCGATATGATCATAACATGATAGGAAAGCTAAATAATAAGACTTCTGATTGTCTCCAACAGCAAAAATCCTACAGTATGCATATAACAACTGCTACCAAAGTCTGAAGTCCTTCATTTTGTCCCAACGTATTCCCCACACGGCTGGGCATAGACACTTATTCCCACATTCAGCAGTGGACAGGAGGATGATGATGGCCTGAAGCTACAGCAGCTGGAGACCATTGGGACGCTCTGTTTTGGGAGACACACAATGTGACCTTGGAGTCATCCGGACTGAATCCAGTGAATAACAGATAACCCAAGAGCACGAGTCCTTACTCAGCTGATGAGTATGAGAAAAAGAGCTTGGAATGACAAAAAGTTTTAACCTCTCAAATCATCCACAGAAACAGACCTCATGGAGCATGTTGGTTAAATGAAAACACCATATTAACCAGAAAAGAGAAGTTTAACAAGACAAATTTGAATTTTGTTCTGTGATTAGGGGTTTTGCAAAAAAAAATAAAAAATACAAATGTCTTGACTTTGACAAGCCAACACAATTAAACACACTACCGTTCAAATGTTTGTGATCACTAAAGTTTTGAAATTAAAACTTTTATTCCACAAGGAGGATGCATTAAATTGATCCAAACTGACAGTAAATACATTTATAATGTTACAAAAGGTTTCTATCTCAAATAAATGCCTTTCTTTTGAACTTTCTAATCAAAGAATCTTGAAAACATAAATGTATCACGATTTCTACTAATGATCCTTCAGAAATCATTCTAATATGCTGATTTGCCGTTTAAGACAGAAATATTTATAACTATAATGAATGTTGAAAACAGTTGTGCTGCTTAATATTTTTGTGGAAATCATGATAATATTCTTTCAGGATTCCTTGATGAATATTTGATAAACATTTATTTGAAATAGAAACATTTTGTAAGATTACAATGTCTTGCCACTTTTTATCAATTTAAAGCTTCCTTTCTAAATAAAAGCATTATTTCTTATTAAAAAACTGCTTTTGAATGGCAGTGTACCTATGTAGAAAACGAATGGGAAAAATACTTCCAGAAGCAAAGCCACTGAGAATGTGGTTAAATGTGAAAGAGTGAGAGTCAGATCTTTCTACTGGAGTGAAATCCTCTCATGACTGCTCTTGAAGAACCACTAAAACACACCTTTACACAGTGAGAACTGGTTTCAGAAGCCCCAAAGATCCAAAGATTCATTCAGAGATTTATTTAAAAGAAAAAAAAAAAAGCTTAATTTTTTTATGTAGCCTTTGCAAACAAAAGAAAATTGACTCCTGAAATGCCGGAAACTGTACAATTGCTTTCTGTCCATTGCAACTGTTGCTTGTCAGATTGCATTAGATCTTCAGTAAAAGTCAAAACAGACTGTACAACATCATGTCAGATTGAATGATGCAAGATTTACAGCACCGATGGTCAGTTTTACTCCATCAATCTATGACAAATTCCTCACTGACATGCACAAAGCCAAGAAAGCCCTTGAGGAAAAGGGGATTTTGTGGACTGTGAACTTCGATATGATCATAACATGATAGGAAAGCTAAATAATAAGACTTCTGATTGTCTCCAACAGCAAAAATCCTACAGTATGCATATAACAACTGCTACCAAAGTCTGAAGTCCTTCATTTTGTCCCAACGTATTCCCCACACGGCTGGGCATAGACACTTATTCCCACATTCAGCAGTGGACAGGAGGATGATGATGGCCTGAAGCTACAGCAGCTGGAGACCATTGGGACGCTCTGTTTTGGGAGACACACAATGTGACCTTGGAGTCATCCGGACTGAATCCAGTGAATAACAGATAACCCAAGAGCACGAGTCCTTACTCAGCTGATGAGTATGAGAAAAAGAGCTTGGAATGACAAAAAGTTTTAACCTCTCAAATCATCCACAGAAACAGACCTCATGGAGCATGTTGGTTAAATGAAAACACCATATTAACCAGAAAAGAGAAGTTTAACAAGACAAATTTGAATTTTGTTCTGTGATTAGGGGTTTTGCAAAAAAAAATAAAAAATACAAATGTCTTGACTTTGACAAGCCAACACAATTAAACACACTACCGTTCAAATGTTTGTGATCACTAAAGTTTTGAAATTAAAACTTTTATTCCACAAGGAGGATGCATTAAATTGATCCAAACTGACAGTAAATACATTTATAATGTTACAAAAGGTTTCTATCTCAAATAAATGCCTTTCTTTTGAACTTTCTAATCAAAGAATCTTGAAAACATAAATGTATCACGATTTCTACTAAAACTAAAGCAGCACAACTGTTTTTAACATTGATAATAATAAGAAACGTTTCTTGACCAGCAAATCAGTATATTACAATGATTGCTGAAGAATTTCTGTGATACTAGAGTAAAGAATGCATTTTAAAACATATTAAAACAGAAAATAGCAATTTTAAATTGTAATAATATTTCATTTTTTGGCTGTATTTTTGATCAAATAAATGCAGCCTTGGTGATACAAGAAACAGTTTGATTTTAGTATTAGTTCTATACTATTATATTATTTATTCATATTTTGAATTAGAATTTATTTTTATAATTTCAGTTTTCATTTTATATTCAATTTAGTTTGTCATTTTCTTCTCTTATTTTTTATTATTTTTTAATATTTCTATTTATCTGTCATTTATTTTTATTTCTGTTTTAGTCATTTTAGCAGTGTAACTTAAGCTTATTTCAGTAAGGTGACATTTCTAATATTTAATTTTTTTTAATTTTAATTTTATTTAATTGTATTTTATTTTAGCTTTATTTCAATTAACAGAAACTATTTAAATAGATTTAGTTTTAAAAACAACAACAGTGATGTGAATCGTATTTAAAAAATCCAGCATTGCTGGTCACCAGCATAAGGTATGTTTTGCATGCTGGTTCCTGGTCCCCAGCAAGGCCACAACAAAACTTGTGTATGTGTTACATATCACGTTTCTTTTGAAACTGGCTTGTGTTTGTAGTTAAAGACCAAGACAATTTTCCAAATTAATTTTAATAAATTATTGAATAAAGAAAAACACAAGTTGCTGGTTACATGTTTACATAGTAAAATCCCCAGTGTTAAACAAACACTGCTCAGTTTTCACATGGTCCTGATCTATAGAGTAAACGTAACACTGAAGCAGTGTTGTAGTTAGTGAAATAAAGCAGATTCACTCTACAAGTGACGACGGAGCATTATTGATGACACCTACTACTATAGATTTAGTTTTAGTTAAAAACAACAACAGTGATATGAATCTTATTTCATAAACACGCAAAAAATAGTTTTTACTGATCCCAAACTTTTGAATGGTAGTGTACAGTATATGGTGTTGAAATGAATCAGGACATCAACTCTCCTAGTGTAAAGGTGTGTTTAATATAATGATTTCAAGAGCAGTTGGGTGTTAATCCCATAGAACAGTTTAAACAACACACACACACACGTCAAACCATGCATCTTACATGAGAAACACTTGAGAACAGCTCTGGGTTTCGACATCACACACGTAGAAACCTTCTTACAAAGGCTATGAGGGACTGAGAGACACAAAACCAACATGGTCAATGGAAGAGGAAACTCGCTCAGACTTTCTCTCTCTTTGTTAACTTCAACAAGCCCACACCACTCCAAACTAAAGACAGCCACACAGAAACTGCAGTGGTGGTCCGTCAGAGGAGGTTTGAGGCTGAGGCTCTTGTATAATTTAGTCTATGTTGTGTTGAGCGCCAGCAGGCCTGATGACGCATTACAGCGAGACTCAAAGTTTGTATTAATGTCAGATGAACATAAATGATTCTCTGATTCTCCTCTGACTCACCCATCCCTTTGGAGTGGTTGAAGTCTCCTTTGACGATCCTGCAGGATTTGCCATCACCGTTGCAGACGCTGCACCGGTCTTCTTTTGCAGAAGAACCGATGATGCCGTCACAGCCGATTTTCTGCAGGAGGTAGAGTAAGAAAACAATAAGACTGATTTCATGAGTCGTGACTTAAAATAATGTGAAAAAAAAATTGATTGGTATGAATTAATTGTACACGTGGACTGTAAAATGTCACTCCAAACCGGTATGCTGTTTATTTGTCTGCATAACACAAAAATATAATCTTCACCCAGCTCTAAAACAAAGCCAAACACTCCCAAATTACTCCCCGTTTTAGGGAGTATTGGCCTATATTTAGTAGATACTGTAAGTTCTATACACTACTTTATTTATTAATTAATAGGTCAAAATTGAGAGAAATATTTTGTAATTTTATAAATGTATTCGAATAATGACTACTTCAAATAAATGATGTTCTTTTGAAATTTCTGTTCATCAAAGAATCCTGAAAAGAATGTATCATGATTTCTGAAGGATGTGACACTGAAGACTGGAGTAATGATGCTGAAAATTCAGCTTTAATCACAGGAATAAGTTACATTTTAAAATATATTCCAATAGAAAACAGTTATTTGAAATCAGAATAATATTTCACAATATTACTGTTTTTACTGTATTTTTGATCAAATGAATGCAGCCTTGGTGAGCAGAAGAGATAATAAATAATCACAATATTTTCAATATTATGAGTCCATATAATGAACAAATTAATAAATATGACAACACAATAAATATATTAAATGTACATGAGGCTCAGTAAAGCCTTTTGATTTATCATATTTAAGAAATGAAAAACATCTGGAATCAAAGATGCTCTAAAATATGGTGTGTCATTTTATGAAAAAAAGATATGTTAAGATTCTTAAAAAAATCGTCTCTAGGTTATGCATGTAACCATGGTTCCCCGGGAGAATGAGACGCTGCGTCGAAACGCTATGGGAACACCTTCAGCGTGACCACGCTCGTTACATTTTAAAATATATTCCAATAGAAAACAGTTATTTGAAATCAGAATAATATTTCACAATATTACTGTTTTTACTGTATTTTTGATCGTAACCATGGTTCCCCGAGGGAACGAGACGCTGCGTCGAAACGCTATGGGAACACCTTCAGCGTGACCACGCTCTGAATCACGTGTGTAAACAGTCCAATGGATGGGCGAGACGTCACGGGCGGGGTGATGTAGAGACCAGGAAGCTTAAAAGCATGTGCGGTGGATACATATATCTGGGAAATGAAGTAAGCGCTCACAGGGATGCCGGAAGTATGGCAATGAGACGCAGCGTCTCGTTCCCTCGGGGCAACATGGTTACATACGTAACCTAGAGACGTTCCCCTTCAGGAACTCGAGCTGCGTCGAAACGCTATGGGAACGAGTATGCCCACTCTGCCAGACTTACAAATCCCTGCCTAGTGTGGAAGAGCACAACTAAGGCGAGAGAACAGAAGTGCCGGGAGTGGCTCGGATATCGAGGTCGTAGAACCTGACGAAAGTCAGCAGCGTAGACCAACCCGCAACGTTGCAGATGTCCTGCATAGATACACCTGACAGAAAGGCCTTGGAGGCCGTCACACCCCGAGTCGAGTGAGCCTTGACCCCCAGGGGCGAGGGGAGATCAGAGGACTCAAGGCTAGGCAGATGGCATCCACGATCCACCGGCTGAGGGTCTGTTTAGATGCAGGAAGACCCTTCTTGGGGGGACCATAGCACACTAGCTCTTGAGAGAAGAAATTGCCAGAAGGAAGGTAGTCTTTAGAGTGAGATGACTATCAGATATCTCCTCTATAGGCTCGAAAGGAGGTTTACAGAGAGCCTCTAACACCACAGCCAATTCCCACGGAGGGACAAGAGATCGTACCGGAGACCTCAGCGCACCGCGGAGGAAACATGTAACTAGGGGGTGTCTGCCCACTGACTGACCACCAAGAGGGGCATGGTAGGCCGCAATGGCCACCGCTTAAACCTTCAAGGTGGAGTGGGTCAACCCTGCGGAGAATCGGGCCTGCAGGAACTCCAGCACTGTACCAACCGGGCAGTTAACTGGGTCGAGCAGGCGGTCTCCACACCAAGAAGTGAAAAGTTTCCACTTCAAGGCGTACAGTTTCCTCGTTGAGGGAGCTCTGGATTGGAGGATGGTCTCAACAACCTCAGTTGAGAGACCGGAGACTACGAGATGTGCGCCCTCAGGGGCCACACCCACAGCTTCCACAGCTCCGGGAGGGGGTGAAAGATGGTGTAAAAAACACCTTTTGAATGGTGTCCCCCCCCCCCCAAC